CACAAATTAAACTCTAAAATAATATGTAATAATAAAAAAATAAATTTTTTTAGTTCATCTTTTAGACGACTTTGTGCTCTTTGGGTACTTTTATTTGAGTGTATTTCATTTCAGGGTTTTATTTCGGTGTTATTTTGATGGTTTTTTTAGGGCGTTAATCCTCAATTGAGTGTAACCTTCAATTGATGATCCGAAATCACACCCAAATTTGAGCGTCCTTTTTAAGTGTTAACACCCAAATTTGAGCGTTTTTTTTAGTGTTGAACACTCAAAGTTGAGAGTTTTTTTTCGTAAGGGATGCAAAGAGATATTTCTAAAATTTTAAAATATTAATGATCTTACACTGCAAAATGTGGTCATCGTTAGTGGAAATATCTTTCCCGCTGTGATGCGAAAAGATTCATTAGAACGCATCATTAATAAAATAAGATGTTTCTTTTTCCTTGGTTCCAATTTGTACCACTCAAGATCGCATATAGCACGATATACTGCTTCGCACTTGACACGTATAAACACGTATAAACATCTGTGTTATTTTTTATATTATATTATATTAAATTATTATAAATTTAAATTGAAGGAATTAGGCTTGTAAGAATAAATCAAATATAGTAAAGTAAGCAAACAAAAGAAAGCGAAATCGAGTGCTATGATAAAGTCAGTTATAGTATGTAACAATATAATTTAAAAATGCTGAGTTTAAATTTTATTTATTAATATATAAATATGAATATTACAACTTACTTGCTCTGCTATAATTTCTCCTGCACCGCAGTAGAGAAATGTATGCGCTAATAGAGTAAAGTTTCCAATTACCAAAAAGCATACTCTTATAAGAGACATGTGACTTGTCTCGTTCCCTGTAATCACCTGGATAATATATCTTGCTAATTAATAATAAAAATGTATGTTTAATTAATTACAAAATTATTTTACATTTTTTATGTTCTCTTCTCATTTACACTTACAGTAACCAATACAAATCCAAATAGACAAAATGCAATACCAAAATAAAATACTAATCCCAACATCATTAAGGCAAATGTATCTTCAATATTACTGGCAAACCTATAAATGTAAACACATTTAAAAAGGTTTTATGTACAAACGAAATGTACTGTGTTAACTGTGTATATATATACGACCGTTCACCGAGGATCGCGATCGTTAACGTGCGGCGCGGAGTAGGGGTTTTAACAATGCTGCGCGCTAAGCGATCGAAATCGATAGGCGGTCGATAGGCGTATCTCACCGCGCGTTTGCATTTGATGATCTCAAATAATTAATATCTCGGTAACTATTGCAAAAATTGCAAAATGGTACTCGACTTTTTTCCTTAGTTTAGTCCGTTCTACCTCCATGCAAGTATTGTGTCAATAATTATCGAACCCTGTATATGTATGGAAAAAAGTCGAGTACCTTTTTGCAATTTTTGCAATATATATATATATATATATATATATATATAACACACACATACAGGGTGTCCGATAATTATTGACACAATACTTGCATGGAGGTAGAACAAACTGAGGAAAAAAGTCAATTACCATTTTGCAATTTTCGCAATAGTTACCGAGATATTAATTATTTGAAATTATCAAATGTAAACGCGCGGTGAGATACGACCGCCTATCGATTTCGATCGCTTAGCGCGCGGCATTGGTAAAACCCCTACCCCGCGCTGCACGTTATAGCGATCGCGATCCTCGGCGAACGGTCGTATTTCGCCGCGCGTTCACATTCGGCGATCTTTATAAATTAATATCTTGATAACTAGAAGTGATATTGAGAAATATCATTAATATTTTGATAACTAGAACTGATATTGAGAAAATCTCAAAATACAGGACTTTTCTGTTCAGTTTAGTTTGTTCTACCACTCTACAAGCGTTGTGTCAATAACTATCAGACACTTTGTATATCCAATAATTTCCATATATCAACATAAATGCATTGAACTCAGTAAGAATTATACATTAAATAGTTGACACAGAAAGAAAGAGATTATAAAAAAGAAAGAATTAATTGATCGTTAAAAATTAAGCAAAATTATGCAAAAACTATCTCAAAAACTTTACTACATCTAATTTTATAATGTTATTGTAATGACAATTATAAACCATAGAGAAACCTTATTATTCGTAAATGAGTTTGTACGTTATTATGCAAAGCATAATCGAAATCCTTGCTTGATATCAAATTGACCAATCGATGTTTGAAATTTTCCAATTGGCCACAAATGTGAAAGATCGTGAGTCCAAGAAAAGCATCTACTGAAGTATAAGTTATTCCGCCTAGAAACATCGTTATTGCTTGAATCATAAGCGCAAGCTCAAATTGCGGACTTCTATCTGTGTCGTAGAAGTAATACGCCTGAAACGGTAATAGTCTTTTTTGATCCGTAAGATTGGTTATATATCTGAAGTGTAACCCAAAAGAAGGAAGAATGATGAGCAAGATGAAAACAAATGTCATCAAAAAACATCCACAGATTATGATCAATCGCGCAGCTCGTGCTTGTCTTATCATCACATCCCTTTCTGCGTCTTTCTTTAATTCCATCCAATCTTCCGCCATCATCTTTACGAGAATTGCGACAGCTTGAAAATATAATAAATTCCTGTATAAAATATTTACGGTTATAAAACTAAATGTATATTAATTTCAGATATAACGTACCTGTACGTTTCCATCGCATGATGACAAGTTTCAGCGAAACCGCTAATAAAGATAAAGTAACTTGGAGATTGTCTACTATAAGTATCATGTCACCCCAAACTTGTACAAGGGAGCATAAAAGAGGAATAATGGATAGGAAAGTTACTATAAAGAAAATTATTCCTACACGAAGATCGGAAACAAAAGTATACTTAACTGTCTCATTGGTTTTGGGCCATAAACCGACCAGATCCAAACCGAATCGATTTAGTTCGATTGCCCACACAAAATCTGGCGATATATCAATGTTATAAAAAATTAAAATATTTGTCAAAATTATAAATGTCGAATTATTACAATTTATTATATTTATTTTATGTTGTTATATATATATACACATAATACAAATATTAAAAAATTTAGAAAATTAATAATTTCAAAATTTTCAATACTTATATATGTATAACATTTATAAGTTTATATATATATATAGAATTAGCTATTTACGAAAACCGAAAAATTTATAGTAACTTGATCACAAAATGTAAATTAACTGATGATTAAAAAAAGTTTTAAAATCGATTAAATAACGATTGAAGAGATCTCGTGAACATGTATAATATTTAAAGTCAAAATCAAAAGTTTATGTAAAACAAAAAAAAAAGAATTCAGAATGTGATAGAAGATAAATAATCATTTGAAATGTGATATATTTAATCCTTACTCCCTCTCGTCATTTTTTTCTCATAAAGATTATTTTTATTATGATTCAAAATATATGATAAATGTTCAATACCTTTGTAACTCGAACGTTTGGTAACGTTCATGTCGAAGACTGAATGCAGAGAAATTCGGTTCTTGCCACTCTGTTGCGCAAAATGATCATCACGCATGCTTACTCATAATGCGAATGTAACAGATGGTTACTTCGTCGAAAGGTGCATTAAATATTGCAAATACTATCCCTAGTTGATAACACTTTTTTAGTTCCTAAACTTTACATGAATAAGAATTGATCATTGATCAGAAAAAGTATCAATAACTGTGTAGTTATAAAAAGTGGGATGTATTGTGCTATAGCAAGTTTATCGAGCCTGTTGTACAAGTTTCTCTCAACTTTATAATGTTTCACCACGTATACCATTTTGTAGCGTGACGACAAATGATGTATCGTTAAATTTTTAATAAACCCTTGTAGAAGCAGTAAGGGAACACAAGAAAACTTCGCTCAAAAAAGAAAGACGACACATTACAAAAAGTGCAGTCTATAAACGACATCTTTACAAACATTTCGAATTTTTATTTTTTTCTGACAATGAGTAATATACGCGATATATGATAGTATAAAGTATAACACAATAATAACGATGTTCATTTTAAATTATCTTTGGTAAAATATTGTAAGTTGATTTATATTAATCGTAATAATTAATGGTTTATTATATTATAAGTTATAAAAAAGATTTTTAAAAAGTTTGTATTCATATATCATATTGGTTAATTTACGCCATATATCAAAAACAATTTTTTTATATGTAAGATATATTTTTAATTAATAGAACATATTTCATATTTTCATTGTGTTTGGATTTATTTAGAAAATCATTAAAAAATACGGTAAATTCAAACAAGCGTAAATTTCATATTTCGAGAAATACTAGTTATTACATAAAAATTTAATTAAGAATACAAATATAACAAAACATTGAAATAACTGTCTTCTATCTTAAACATTTTACTTCTAAATATAATTTATAATTTTATTTGTAATTATCTAATTGAAAATATTTTGAATTTAATTTTTATCCGAAATGAATTATATACTAATAATTTTCATATTTTAATCTCGCATTGCCAACAGAACCGATATATAGCCAGCTGACGTTTTTAATAACTGAAAAGAAGACTTCTATTTAGAAAAGCCATGAACAAAATTTTATTGAGTATGCAAAAAATATTTTAACTATAAAATATTGTTAGCTTTCTATTTTTGTTTAACACATATATATTAATTATGAAATAAAAATATCTTACGCTACAAAATGTAGCCATTGTTAGTGGAACAATCCTTCCTATCGTGATACGAAAAGGGTCACTGGCTCGTGTCATCAATAAAATAAGACATCTCGCTTTTCTCGACTCCAGTTTGTACCACTCGAGATTATGTAAGGTACGGTATATTGCTTCGCACTTAACACGCACACACATAATATAATAAGATATGAATACCTGTGTTATATTAGTCTAAACCGTTACCATAAATATTAATTAGTTTCAATTTTAATTTAAACGTGACATTGAAGATTCTCTGTTATAAAATATATTCTTCTATTATAAAAAAATACCTGAGTATAAAGATCTTCTATAAGAAGACAATAAAAAATAAATTAAATTTAAATTTAAGTAATATTTATGTGAAAACGGTCTTATAAACTATCATAAATTAACACACGTTATAAAATTAAATAATAAAAAAGTTATAACATAGATACAGAGTTTACAAAACCAGTTGCTTCTTAATATGAAAAGATTCTTATTAAACTAATTATGCAGATTAATGATCGGCCACAGTACACAAAATTAAATTAATAATCCATTTATTTAAAAATAAAAATATGATTCTCACCTGTTCCGCTATTAGTTCTCCGGCCCCGCAATAAAGAAAAGTGTGTGTTAAGAGAGTAATAACACCAATCATTATGTAAAATACTAGTGAAAGAGAAATACCATTTGTTTCATTATCCGTAATTGCCTATATGACATGTATCTTATTAATAAAAACATATTAACACATAATTAGATAAATAATAATATTATAATCACACACACAAACAATTATATAATGCAATTGTATATATTGTAAATCGCATGTAAGACACACTAATATCTACAACGCAAGCCTCTCTAAACTTACAACAAGCAACAGAAATCCATATAGACAAAACACAATACCAAAATAAAATACTAATCCCAACATCATTATCGCGAATGTATCTTCAATCTTATCGGCAAATCTGCAAATATAAATATGTTCAAAAAAATTACATTTAGTAAATATATGTATATATTTTATGTATACGTATAAAAGAGTTTAAAAAAAAATACATTAAAAGAAATTAATGAAAAAAACAAAGAAAATCTGTGAAATCTTATGTAGTTATAATTAAGACCCGGATGTTCATACGATTTCCTACGCAATGTACTTATTGCATGCAAATGTGTCTGATGCTATTGTCTTAAGGTTTGTTTTTTATTGCTGCACTGGATTACACTTCTAAAACTTTTCTTCTTGCTTTCGCCAAAATATCAAACATATAGCTATTTTACTCCAAGTACAAAGAATATACACTAGTTTAGCTATAAAAAACAGACCTATAGACATAGTATATATTTAGATCGAGCATTCGTATAATTATTTGCGCAGTGCCCTTGTAAAAAAATATACAAAAAAAAATATTAGAAAAAAATTGGAGTAAATAGTATATGATGTTGAGTTTGCAATGATTTTCTAATAATTTTTCTCGTACATCTAATAATATTTTCCTATAAGGAGACAGAATTTGAAGTGCATATAAAAAAAGACTTTTGTTTTGTATTCTTTCTTATTCGTGCATACGTACATATAAAACGTACGTATTGTAGATTGTTGTATTTTTACTATTTCTGTGCTATAAAAATGCTGCGAACGTTTATAAGATTGTTATCATGCGCAAGAACAAATATTTAAACTTCACATAAATAATAGAATTAAACTCAATCTTAATTCTGTAAGTTTTATTATTAAACTTTAGTTTGTGCAACATTATTCTATAGTTATTATTAAAACCTGCAAGAAACCTGATGAGTCGTAGATGAGCGATCACATTATTTCGTAAAGCACTATTAAAGTCTTCACCCGACACCAAGTTGACCAATTGAGATCTGAAGTTCTCCAACTGGCCGCAGATGTGAAGAACCGCAAGTCCAAGGAATGCATCTACCGACGTATAAATTATAGCTGCCAAGAAAATCGTTATGGCTTGGATAGTAAACGTGAGTTCGAATTGCGGGCTCTTATCTGTGTCGTAGAAGTAATACGTCTGCAGCGGTAACAGTCTGTCCCGATCCGTGAGATTTGTTATACGTCTGAATGGTATGCCAAAACACGGAAAAATGATGATTGTAGAAAACGCGAATATCATCAAAATGTATCCGATGATTACGATCAATCGAGCAGTCCGCGCTCGCTTTATCATCACGTCTCTCTCTGCGTCTGACTTCAATGCCATCCAATCTTCCGCCATCATCTTTATGATGGGTAAGAGAGCTTAGAAATACAAGATGATTTATCGTGCAATGATATTAAACCATTTATTAAATCGCATGAAGTGAGAACAAAATCATTGACACTTAGACAATTATTGTATATATTAGAAAAAAAGAAATAAAAATCACATAATTCTGATCCCTCTCTGATAACTCGATGGACCACGGATATAAGACATTAGATATAAAACAATTTGATGATAAAAAGGAATTTAAAGCTAAATAATATAAATGATTCCAGACAAACCTGTTCGCTTCCACCGCATCATAACAAGTTTCAACGAAACTACCATTAGAGGCAATGTAATTTGTAAATTGTCTATTACAAGTATCATATCGCGTCGAACTCGTATAAGAGACCATACAAGTGGGATACCAGAGATGAATGTTATTATAACGAAAATGATGACTACGCGAAGATCAGACATTAAGTAGCTGTGCTTAACTACTTTATCTGTATTAGGCCATAAACCAACCAGTTCCAAACCGAATCGATTTAATGCAATTGCCCAAACAAAATCTAATAAAAATTTAATATTAAAATTGAAAATATTTAACAAAATATAAATTAATACGTATAAAAAGTTAGATATTTAAATAAAAATCTAAAAATTTAGTAATTTAAGATTTTAAATTCAATAAATTTATTAATTTGAGAATGTCAAAACATACATTGAAATCTTAAATAAATGACATAGTTTATTATATATAAAAAGATACAATAAATAGTAGATAATTCAAAACTATAAAAAAAGATATAAATTAATTATGTTTTTAAAGTTAATATAAATTAATAAGCTAATTAATGTTTAATGTTTAATTCATTACGTAATAATTGTTTACTTAGTTTAACAACAAAAAAACTTAAAAAATTTTTATAAAATAAATATCAGATTAAGAGAAAAAATCTAGAATAATTAAAAAAAATGTGATAAAAATTTAGTACCTTTGTAATCTGTATGTTCGGAAATATCCATGAAGAACACAGGAAACTTCGCTTCGTTTTTCTTGAAAATTAATACGGAAAATTCTGCATCGTTTTCCATTCTCTAGCAAGAGATTATTATCACGCATGCTCGTATCGCAAGTGTATCAACCTGGCTGCCTCATTGAAGCAGCATTAAATATTAAAAATGCTATCCCCTAACTGATCATAGTTGCTCGTCTAGCAAAAAAACTTTAGAAGCGCTTGAATAAGTCGTAAAACGCGTTTATATCCAGTTTATTAAGACAAGAGATGGAAAATAATTTGTCGCAGTACTTAAGTTCTTTTGTAACATTTCAATAAGTTCGCGTTTACTTCAAAATGAGAAATAGAACATTTTTAATAGGATCATATACAGTAGATACGAGAACACACAAAAAATTGTAATAAAGCCTATGGATAACACATTATCGACTAATGCTTTGTCGTTGCTAACGGTTCAAATGTTTATTGTGAAGCTACATTAGTTTATAGTTTATATAACACACAATGACTGAATCTATTATCAACTAACGACTAATACATATATAACAGTTTTTTGAAAATTCTTTACGTATAAAATTGATGCGAAAAATTGTTCTGTTTAAATATCTTATTTGCGTTACTCTCTGTTTGGTAATATCTGTCCACAATATAAAAAATATAACATTAAAATTTAAAAAAATTCAAAATAAAATGCAGTAAAATATTGATATTTTTGCATCACAAAATTGAGTATCTATCCATTTCTTCTCATCTTTTCATCTCTAAAATTAAAACAAGTGGTATTCACGGTGTAGTATTCACGTAGAGTTTGATTCATTTTATATTGTTTTGTTAGGACACAATTAATACGCATAATCAATAATCATTATTACTAAATTTAACACCGTACACAAAATAAGAGGGCCAGGTGAAAAATTTTTAGCCTGACATAGAAATGGTACTGGGGGTGTCAAATGACTATGATTTTTCTTAAGTTTGATCCTTCAGAAGTCCTACCGAAAAAGTTTGACAACAGACAGATGCGGTTAGTATAGTTCGTCTCTTGTATCGAGTAAAGCAAACAAGTTTTGGTGTTTCTCGAAAAATGGATAAAATCGAATGTCGCGCTGTGATAAATAGTGATAAAATACTTCGTTTTAAAAGGTTTAACGCTAGCGGAAATAAAAAACGATTCCACGATAATTCCACTTTGGGAGACTCTACACCATCGTTTTCAACAGTGAAAAAACGGACTGCTGAATTCAAACTGGTCGTTCATCCATAAAAGACGATAAACTTTCAGGATGCCCAAAAACCGCTACGACTGAGAAAATCGAAAGAATTCATAATATCGTGTTAAATAATCGACGAATGAAAGTGCGTGCTGATATTGTAAACATCTCAATAGATCGTGTTTATAACATCTCACACGACGTTTGCACATGAAAAAGCTTTCAGCACGATGGGTGCCGCGTTTGCTAATGGTCGATCAGAAACGCATTTGCAATTGCAGTCGCAAAACTCCATGAATTGCGCTTTGAATTGCGCCACACGCACCGTACTCATCCCCAAAGATTTTCATGGAGTTTTTCTCAGAAGTTCTTTAATTGGCCGCAAATATAAAAAATTAAGAAAAGCATCTATTGATGTATAAATTACCCCTGTTAGAGAAAGTGTTATGACTTGAACGAAAAATGTCAACTCAAATTGCGGGCTTTTATCAGTGTTATAGAAATAATATGTTTGCAGTGGTAGCGGTTTATTTCAATTGGTAAGATTCGTTATATGTTATATATACAAAAATAAAAATTAGAAATTTTTTTTTTCTTAAATATAATATTTAATATTATTAATAATTATAATAATACCTATAATAAATTTAATCTCCATCGACCTATTTTTCTGTAATGGGCAAAGAAAATGTTATTACATTATAAAATGTTTAATGATACAATTAATAATAAACAAACGAATGCTAATAGGCAAAATGCACAATTTCATTTTTACTACAATAAAAATAAAAGGCATTTCCTAAATAGAAATACAATTGTTCTTTACATGTAACTATATAACTGTGAAAACATTTTCTTTCTATATTAATATTGACATATGTTAATATTGATTTATGTTAATATTGATACAGTCTTTAGCCATGTTTCGTCAATAAAAATGATATATAGCCAGCCGATGATTTTAGTATCTGAAAATAATAATTATTTTTATTTACTGACAAAAATTTTAATTTAAAAATTTTAAAAATTTAATATAAAAAATATGTCGTCAATATTGACTTCTATGTACAAAAATCAACTGATTAACTATGATAACTTTAATTTACACTTTTATAAATGTTTTTAAAATTCAATTACATAAATTAACTTTTATTACATACATTATATTATTTCATTTACATTATAATAATATTTATAGCTATAATATAGTTTGACTTATATGTTCAAATTTTCATTTTCCAAATTCTATACAAAAGAAATGAAATTAAAATAAAATCATTTTAAATAATCTTACACTACAAAATGTAGCCATTGTTAATGGAATAATCTTTCCTGCTGTAATACGAAAAGGACAACCAGCTTGTATCGTTAACAAAATGAGACTTTTTGCTTTTCTTGATTCCAATTTGTACCATTCAAGATCGCACAGTGCACGATATACAGCATTGCACTTAATAAATACATAAGAAAACATATCAATGTTCATGTAATTTTAATGAAGATTATTTTCAAAAATATTAGTAATAGTTAATTGCAATTTAGTTAACTTCTTAACTCTGATTAAAAAAAAAAATCAGGAACAAAAAGATCATATAACTTGAATAATTGTATAAATAGGATATTTATTAAATTTCATTTAAAACAATCGTTTAATGTTTAAATATATATCAAACTAAATTTTTAATAGTTTTTCCTAGTGTGCGCGAGCGCGCGCGCGCGCGCGCGCGCGTGTGTATGTGTGGGAGAGAGAGAGAGAATAAGGTATTGAATTTGATAGCAAACAGCATTATAATAATATATCGAAACACAGATTTTTTTGAATAATTTTTAAAAATACTACTATATATAACTATATGGAAATCATTTGCTTCACAGTATAAACATAATAAATTTACTATTTATAAGTATGATCTACTTGCTAAAACTTACATGCTCCGTTACGAGCTCTCCAACTCCACAATAGAGAAAAGTATTTATCAACATGACAATGAGAATAAATATCGAGAAATGTCCTTGCATAATGGTCGCTTTATCTATTTTTCTGTCAGTAAGTATCTAAAATGTATAAATTATTATATTAAGAAAGGAAGAAGCGTACATGCAATTAAAAAATTTTCTTGCATTAGTTTTACTAAATCTTTCTACTAAATCTTACAATAGTAAATAAAAACCCGCTTAGGCAAAATACAATGCCAAAATGAAATACCAATACTAACATCATTAAAGAGAATGTATTTTCGATATTGTCGGCAAATCTATAAAAATAAATATATTTAAAAGAATTATCACGTTAAACCAATAAAATACTATACTTTTCAGAAATATTTACATATATTAAAAGATAAGATATAGAGGTTATTGTCTTTTCAAAATTTGTACAATTAATTAAATGTTTCTAGTAAAAGTGCATAGACATTAATATAATTGTTATATTATTAATTATATGCTAATAAAAACATTTTTGACAAATAAGTTTCACAATTACAAATATACAATAAAATAAAACAAAATAAATATACATATAATCACCACATTTTTGGAAAGTAAACAAAAAATACATATATGTAATTCCACAAATAATAAAGATTAATGATTTTTTAAAATAAATAAAACTGTAAATTAAATAAACTTATTCAAAGTGTAAAATATATGTATAAAAAATTTCTTTCAATGATATTTCTAAATTATTTTCATTAAATGTTTTATTGCGGCAATAAAAATTCTTACCTGATAAGACGTAAATGGGTCGATATGATGTTGTTTAAAACTTTGTTGAAATTTTTGCATGAAGGTAAATTAATTAATCGGTATCTAAAATTTTCTAACTGACCACAAATGTGAAAAATTACAAGCCCAAGAAAAGCATCTATTAATGTATAAATTACACCTGCTAGAGAAAGTGTTATGACTTGGACAAGATATGTCAACTCGAACTGTGGACTCTTATTTGTATCATAAAAGTGATACGTCTCTATTGGTAACAGTTTGCGTCGATCCGTGGAATTTCCTACGTACGTTGCTTGAATGTCAAAATAAGGTGCGATGGTTATTGTAAAAAACCCTATTAACGCAAAAACATATCCAATTATCACAATGAATCGTGCTGTTCGTGCTCGTTTTATCATCACATTTCTTTCTTTATTCAGCTTGAATGCTATCCAATCTTCCGCCATCATATTTACAATTGACAAAACATCTTGGAAATAAATATAAGTATAGATAGAACATAAGCATTAAAAACAATAAAATATTTAATTATTTGTAGATATGTGTTGTTATTTGTAAACCGTACAAAAGAAAATATCATACACATATCAACATATTTTATAATTTATTTACAATTACGTTGCTATATAGGAGTGTAAATTGCAATATATAATTTCTGATATTATAATTCATGATATGTTTGTAATTATAATTTTTTCATAAAATTAGGTTTAACTAAGTAGCGAAATATAAAAATGCTAAATACATTATTTTATATAATTTTGGATGTACCTCTTTGTTTCCGTTGTAAGATAATATATTTCATCGATACTATCAACAGGGGTAATGTTGTCTGTAGATTGTCTATTACAAGTACCATATCACCCCAAACACGCTTCACTGCACATATCATTGGAATATTAGAAACAAATATTAATAAAATAACAATAATTCCAACTCGAATTTTTGGCCACAAACTTTTCTCGGAACATTTGTCAGGTTTAGGCCACAAGCCCATTATTTCGAAACCTAAACGATGTAGATTAACTGCCCACACAAAATCTGATAAATTTTTATACGATTTTATAAGCAATATAGATAAAATAATTGTAAATTAACACTTAAATTATTAGAAGATGATATGTAATAAAAGTAAACAATGTAAATAGTGTAATATTCCAAAATGGATTTGTAATGTAAAATTATACAATTACAAATTATACAATTTTACTAGACACAGTAAACACGGATAATAAATTCAAAAATATATCTGTAACATGAAATTAGTACCTCTGTATCCTGAAGATTTTACCTCCATATCAAGCAATGTAAAGAAAGTTCTTCCTACAGTATGATGTGAAATACAAATGATCGTTACGCATGCTCTCCATACGAGTGCAAAAAACCTGACAGTTTTATCAACCGCGTTATTAAATATTAAGAATGCTACCTTCAACTACAGACCAATCTATAATATTGATATCGTAAGAAAAAACTTTTTAAGCGTATAGCAAATCATATATGTCGTTTATATCTAAAGACAAGAGAAATGAAAAACTGAAAATAAGGGAACGAAAAATACTGGATCGCAGTGCATCATAAGTTTGAACACTTGTCAAAATTATCTAAAAAGTTTTTCTCTTACTTTGCGTTGCTTTGAATGCATATTTCGAAAAGAGAAGTAATGTTATTTCATTATTAATAGGATTCTATACGTCGGATTCAAGAATACAGAAATATTATAAACGAAAGAAATTATAAGTTCGAATTATTATTGCGAATATGCATTATTATTGCAAAACGAGAAATAAAAATGTAATAGTTCTGTAAACTGTATGTTCGGATATATCCATGAAGAATATATGAGAAACTTTGCTTCCTTGAAGATTAAAGCGAAAAAATTCCGTTTCGTTTTCCATTCTTTAGCGAGAGATGATTGTCACGATTGTCCACGTTGCAAGTTCATCAACCTGGCTGCCTCATTGAAGCAGTATTAAATATTAAAAATGCTATCCTCCAATTGATCGTAGTTGCTCCTCTCGCAAAAAAAACTTTACAAGCGTTTGAATAAGTCGGAAAACGCGTTTATGTCTAGTCTGTTAAGACGAGAGATGGGAAATTTATCGTAGTACTTCGGAAATTTGAGCTTGCCTTAAAAGTTTTTTTTTGTAACACTTTAATACGTTCGCGTTTACTTCAAAATGAGAAATAATACATTTTTAATGGGATCATATAGAGTAGATACGAGACCACACAAAAATTGCAGTAAAACCTGGAGAACATATTATCGTCGCTATAATGTTTCGTCGTTGCTATATAACCTTTCAAATGTTTAGTGTGAAGATACATTGGTTTATTTAGTTAGAATTTATATAATACACTGACTGAATTTATTATTGACTAATGACTAATACACATATTGTATAAACGTTTTTCAAAAATTCTTCACATATAAAACAATTGTTCTCTTGAAATATTTTATTTGCCTTCTCTTTTGCTAATGTCCGCAATCTACAGAATATTATATTACAATTTGAAGACATTCAAAATAAAATGCACTAAAACATTAACGTTTCTACACTTCAAAATTGAGCATCTATCCATTTCTTAACTTTTCATCTCTAAAATGGAAGCAAGTGATATTTGCGGTATAGTATTCACGTAGAGTTTGATTCATTTTATATTGTTTTATTAAGACACAATTAAAATGCATGTCAATAAATATTGTTATTAAAAATCGCGTACACAAAATATATACATAAATATTAAAAGTGATTTAATTTATAAAAGAAATTTTTCCAAATCAAAGAAATGCAACATACAAATCTTTGAATTTGATCAAATCAAATTTGATTCCAATTTGTACCATTCAAGGTCGCACATAGCACGATACAGAGCTGTACACTTAACAAATAGATTATATATAAATACGCATATTATTTCAATACAATTGCCACAAATATTAATATATTTATTTATATTAATATTTAGTATTAATATAATTTATTATTGTATAATGTTGTAAATGAAATAGTTATATTTTAATTTACTTTTATCTCTACGTACAACGAAAAATTGAAGAAAATTACATGATTTGTTAAAGAAACTTAATTAAAATTTTATTAATACTTAGAAATATATTACACATAAATATTATCTTATAAAATTTATCAATATTTACAAGAATATATATAATAATATATCTTCAATTTTTTAGCATTATGACAATAAATTTAACTCTTTCATGCCTGACTTTTTTAAAGAAATAATTAGCATCTAATTCATGTCTCACTAGAGATTTTTAGGGTTGCTGATTATGAATCTGCAATTAAAATTTAAAAATTAAAAATGGCGGATTCAATATAATATCACATTAAAATGTAAAATTTTTTTGAATTTAAGCAATCTTAAAAATTCTTGTAGTAAAAATATGAGTTTTATTCAAATCCAAAAAAATTTACATTTTGATTCTTTATATTAAATTCGTCATTTTGAAATTAAATAGCGATTTTTTAATATAGCCTTTACATTGACATTCGAAATGAATCCAAAAGAACTCTCTACCTTAATTTTTGTGAAAGATATACATTTTTCATTTTTACTCCATTTTACGAATTTATGACGAGATATGCAGATTAAGGGAGGAAACTCCCAAGTTGGTTTAAACTTTTTTGTGAAGAGTCTTATTTTTCAGTTTTAAAATTAGAATGCCTAGGAAGAAGTTGATATCTTCATTTTTTTGGAAGATATAAATGAAGGGTTTGACATATTAGTGCCACCAGAGGCACGAAAGGATTAAAGAGACATATGTAAACACAATGACATACAAAAATTATGTATTAATGTGATTATTGGACATATAATGAAGTTTGAAAAATGAATCAGTAACAAACACAAATTATAATGCATATATTAATGTTTTTATGTTACACTTATACACATATATGCATATACATATACATATATGTTATATAATTTTTTTCATGTACCTATATACAATATATATACAATATATACAATATATAATTTTTTATGTACCTATATACAATAAATATGTAACTTACTTGCATCGTTATAAGCTCCCCATCATCGCAGTAAAGAAATATTTGCGTTAATAAAATAGCAACAGCAGTTGCCATATAACATGCTTTTGCGACATTCACACCATTTTTCTTTTGGTTGGTTATTATCTGCATAATATATCCCGCTAATTAATCAAAACAAATTATTATAAGTTAGACGCATAATTATTCCACAGACTCACGTAAGTTTTATATATATATATATATATATATATATATATATAGCATAAATTTATATTCCAAAAATAAAGAACCATGTAAAAATATTAAAACGTTTTCAATCTATTTGCTGCACTGAAACTTATACTAACAAGTACAAATACACGTAGACAAAATACGATACCATAATAAATTATCAATCCAAGCATCATTAGCAAGAAAGCATTTTTAATATTATTGGCAACCTACATATTAAAAAATTGAAAAAAAATTTCTAAGACAATGAAACTATTTATTTAAACAAATTTGTAAAGATCAAATATAAACATAAATAACTTCATTAAATTTATATTTAGACGGTTTCCAATTACAAACTATTAACTTTCTATAATTATTATTAATTTGTTATAATCTATTAAAAATAAAAACTTTATTTAAAAAAAGTTATTAAAAATAATATTTGTAGCATATTAATTTTTTACAAAACTTGCAGATTAAACACAAAAATTTTAATATTCAAAAATTCAAATCTTAATCTTACAAGAGTGCAAAAAATAATTTTTTCAAACGTTTTGAACTGATTATTTGGTTTTCCATTGTCATTGAAATCCACACCTGATAAGTCGTAAATGATACACTACGCTGTTAATGCTGTCATTCAAAACTCGATTGAAATTTTTGTATAAAACCAAATTGACTAAACGGCGTCTGAAGGTTTTCAATTGGTCACAAATATGAAAAATTACGAGCCCAAGAAAAGAACATATTGATGTATAAATTATCCCAGTTAGAGAAAGTGTTATGGCTTGAACGAGAAATGTCAACTCAAATTGCGGGCTTTTATCGGTGTCATAGAAATAATATGTTTACGTGGTAGCGGTTTATTTCAGTTGGTAAGATTCGTTATATGTTATATGTACAGAAATAAAAATTTAGAAATTCTTTTTTTTTTCTTAAATATATTATAATATTTAATATTATATAATAATTATAATAATAGCTATATAATAAGTTTAATCTCCATCGATCTATTTTCCTACAATGGGAAAAGAAAATGTTATCACATTACAAAATGCTTAATGATATAATTTATAATGATATAATTAATAATATAATTTATGATATAATTAATGATATAATAATCAACAATGCTAATAGGCAAAATGCACAATTTTATTTTTACTACAATAAAAATAAAAGGCATTTTTTAAGTAGACATATAATTGTGCTCTACATGCTAACTACATATAACTGTTAAAACGTTTTCTCTCTATGTTTATGCTAATATTGATATAGTCTTTAGCCATATTTCGTCAATAAAAATGATATATAGCCAGTCGATGATTTTAGTATCTGAAAATAATAATTATCTTTAATTACTGACGTTTAAAAAATACGTCGCCGATATTGACTTCTACGTACAAAAATCAACTAACTAGCCATGATAATTTTAATTTACACTTTTATAAACGTTTTTAAAATTTAATTATATAAATTTACTTTTATTACATACATTATATTATTCCATTTACATTATAATAATATTTATAACTATAATATACTTTGACTTATATGTTAAAATTATCGTATTGCAAATTCTATACAAAAGAAATGAAATTAAAATAAAATTATTTTAAATAATCTTACACTACAAAATGTAGCCATTGTTAATGGAATAATCTTTCCTGCTGTAATACGAAAAGGATAACCAGCTCGTATCATTAACAAAATGAGACTTCTTGCCTTTCTTGATTCCAATTTGTACCATTCAAGATCGCACACTGCACGATATACTGCATTGCACTTAATGAATACATAAGAAAACATGTTAATGTTTATGTCATTTTAATGAGGATTATTTTCAGAAATATTAGTAACAGTTAATTGCAATTTAGATAACTTCTTAACTTTGATTTAAAAAAAATTAGGAATAAAAAAATCATATAACTTAAATAATTGTATAAATAGGATATTTGTTAAATTTCATTCAAAACGATCGTTTAATGTTTAAATATGTAATACACTAAATTTTTAATTGTTTTTCCTAGCGTGCGTGCGTGCGTGCGTGTGTGTGTGTGTGTGTGTGTGTGTGTGTGTGTGTGTGTGTGTGTGTGTGTATGTGTGAAAAAGAGAATGAGATATTGAATTTGACAGCAAATAGCATTATAATAATATAACTAAGTACAGATTTTTTGTTTAAATAATTTTTAAAATTACCTATATTACTATATACAACGATATAAAATTTGCTCTAAAATATAAACATATTAAATTTACACTATTTATAAGTATGACTTACTTGCTAAAACTTACATGCTCCGTTACGAGCTCTCCAGCTCCGCAATAGAGAAAAGTAGTCATCAACATGACAATGAGAATAAATATCGAGAAATATCCTTGTACAATGATAGCTTTATCTATTTTTCTGTCAGTAAGTATCTAAAATGTATTAATTGTTAAGGAAGAAAAAATACGTATATGCATTAAAATATTTTCTTGCATTTGTTTTACTATATCTTACAATAATAAATAAAAATCCGCTTAGGCAAAATACAGTACCAAACTGAACTACCAATACTAACATCATTAAAGAGTATGTATTTTCGATATTATCGGCAAATCTATAAGAATAAAAATATTTAAAAAAATGATCATATTAACCCAATAAAAAACTATATATACTTTCAAAATATCTATAACACATATAATTAAAGATAAGATATATAGATTACTGTCCTTTCAATATCACTTACTAAATTTTTAATTAAATATTTTTATAAAATAAAAATGTACAAACATTATAATTTATTAATATAATTGTTATAATATGCAAATAAAACACAATTTTTAACAAATAAGTTTTACAATTGTAAATTGAAATATAGAATAATACATAATAAATATGTGATGAAAAATTACCAAATTTTGAAATGAAAAGAAAACAGAAAATATGTATGTAATTGTACAAGCATTAAAGATTAATGATTTGTTAAAATAAATATAATTATAAATGGACAAAATTTAATTTAAAGTTCGAAATATGTACATAAAAAATTCTTTTAATGTATTTCTAAATTATTTTTGTTATCGTTCTATTGTGGCAATCAAATTTTTTACCTGATAAGACGTAAATGTGTTGATATGATGTTGTTTAATGTTTTGTTAAAATTTTTACATGAAGGTAAATTAATTAATCGGCATTTAAAGTTTTCTAACTGGCCACAAATGTGAAGAATCATTAATATTAGAAAAATATCTACAGACACGTAAATGGTAGCTGCTAATAAAGCCGTTATGCTTTGAATAAAAAATGTCAACTCAAACTGTGGACTCTTATCTGTATTATAAAAATGGTACGTTTTTATTGGTAACAGTTTGCTTCGATCTGTGGAATTTCCTGCGTACGTTGTTTGAATGCCAAAATAAGCTGGGACGGTTACTGTGACAAACCCCATTAACGTGAAAACATATCCAATCATCATAATTAATCGCGCTATTCTTGCTCGTTTTATCATCACATCTCTTTCTTTATTCAGCTTGAATGACATCCAATCTTCCGCCATCATATTTATAATCGACAAGACAACTTGGAAATAAAAATAAATATAGATAGAACATAAGTATTAACCTTCAAATGGTACACTTCTTTCGAGCACCCACTAATGGAACATTGGTGCCACGACTACCCGGCGAATAGTCGCGACAGATATCCTTGTGCAAATGTCAACAATTCGAAAATTTTCGCGATGCGAATTCACACTCTTGTACCATTTGAGGGTTAAATTAAAGACGCTAAAATATTGAATTATTTGTAGATGTGTTATTATTTGTAAACTACCACACGAAAAAAGAATGAATCATACACATTTTATAATTTATTTCCATATACGTTACTATATAAGATAATCATATAATATATAACTTCTAATTTCTGATATTATAATCCATAATATGTTTACAATCACAATTATTTATCATAAGATCAGATTTAACAAAGTAACGAAATATAAAAATGCTAAATATTATATTTTATATAATTTTGGATATACCTCTTTGTTTCCGTTGTAAGATAATATATTTCATCGATACTATCAACAGGGGTAGTGTTGTCTGTAGATTGTCTATTACAAGTACCATATCACCCCAAACATGCTTCACTGCACATATCGTTGGAATATTAGAAACAAATATTAATAAAATAACAATAATTCCAACTCGAATTTCTGGCCACAAACTTTTTTTGGTACATTTGTCAGGTTTAGGCCACAAGCCCATTATTTCGAAACTTATACGATGTAGATTAACTGCCCACACAAAATCTGATAGATTTTTATATGATTTTATAAGCAATATGGATAAAATAATTGTAAATTAATACTTAAATTATTAGAAAATAACATGTAATAAAAGTAAACAATGTAAATAGTGTAATAATTCTCAAAATAATTTTCAAAAATTGATTTGTAATGCAAAATTATACAATTTTACTAGACACAGTAAACACGGATAATAAATTCAAAAATATATCTGTAACATGAAATTAGTACCTCTGTATCCTGAAGATTTTACGTCCATATCAAGAAATGTAAAGAAAGTTCTTTCTATAGTATGATGTGAAATACAAATGATCGTTACGCATGCTCTTCATACGAGTGCAAAAAACCTGACAGTTTTATCAACCGCGTTATTAAATATTAAGAATGCTACCTTCAACTACAGACAAATCTATAATATTGATATCGTAAGAAAAAACTTTTTAAGCAAGTCATATATGTCGTTTATATCTATAAAGATAAGAGAAATGAAAAAATGAAAAATACTGGATCGCAGTGCATCATAAGTTTAAACACTTGTCAAACTTGTCTAAAAAGTTTTTCTCTTACTTTACGTTGCTTTGAATGCATTTACTTCGAAAAGAGAAGTAATGTTATTTCATTATTAATAGGATTCTATACGTCGGATTCAAGAATACAGAAATATTATAAACGAAAGAAATTATAAGTTTGAATCATGCATTATTATTGCGAAACGAGAAATAAAAATTTAGTACTTCTCTAAACTATATGTTCGGATATATCCATGAAGAATACGAGAAACTTTGCTTCGTTGTCTTTGAAGATTAATACAAAAAAATTCCGTTTCGTTTTCCATTCTTTAGCGAGAAATGATTATCACGATTGCCCACGTCGTAAGTTCATCAACCTGGCTGCCTCATTGAAGCAGCATTAAATATTAAAAATGCTATCCACCAATTGATCACAGTTGCTCGTCTCGCAGCAAAAAAAAACTTTACAAACGCTTGAATAAGTCGTAAAACGCGTTTATGTCTAATCTATTAAGACGAGAGATGGAAAATAATTTATCGTAGTACTTCGGAAATTTGAGCTTGTCTTTTAATACGTTCGCGTTTACTTCCAAATGAGAAATAATACATTTTTAATGGGATCATATAGAGTGGATACGAGATCACACAAAAAATTGCAGTAAAACCTGGAGGAACTAATTATCGACGCTATAATACTTTGTCGTTGCTAAATAACATTTCAAATGTTAAATTTGTTGATACATTGGTTTATTTAATTAGAATTCATATAATACACTGACTGAATTTATTATTGACTAATGACTAATACATATATTGTATAGTCGTCTTTCGAAAATTCTTCGCATGTAAAACAATTGTCCTCTTCAAATATCTTATTTGCTTTCTCTTTTGACAATGTCCGCGATCTAAAGAATATAACATTACAATTTGAAAAAATTCAAAATAAAATGCACTAAAACATTAACGTTTCTGCACTTCAAAATTGATCTATCTATCTATCTATCTATTTCTATCTATTTCTTTTTATCTTTTCATCTTTAAATTGATGCAAGTGGTATTCACGGTATAGTATTCACGTAGAGTTTGATTCATTTTATATTGTTTTATTAAGATACAATTAAAATGCATGTTAATAATCATTGTTACTAAAAATCGCGTACACAAAACATATACATAAATATTAAAAGTGATTTAAGTTATAAAAGCAATTTTTCCAAATAAAAGAAATGCAACATACAAATCTTCGAATTTGATCAAATCATTATTCTAATAAAAACTTAAATTTTGAATAATAATATCTATTTTCAGCAAATACTAAGTAGTAATATAAATTTATACAAAATTTTATTTTTACAAACAATATAACTAAAAATATAACACTAAATATAATTATTAGCTTCTATATTTGGAAATATTCTATTTAAAATACTTTTATTTCTTTTCTATGACTGACTGAGAAAAAATATATATGTATATATTAACATCGTCATCATTTTTATCTTCCCTTTGCCAGTAAAAACGATATATAGCCAGCCGACGTTTTTAAAAGCTGAAATATAAAGCATATTAATATTTGAATATAATATGGAAGGGGAAAAGAAAATATTTGCAAGAATTTTAATATTTTGCTATTATGTAAATTTATTATAATTTTTTAAATTTACGTTTTAATTGGACAGTTGTTCTCAAAAGTGTTAAATATAAAAATCAATTAGATTATATACGATATGATAAAGTATAGTTAAACAGGAAATTATTATCTATATAATCTTACACTGCAAAATGTGGTCATTGTTAACGGAACAATTTTTCCTGCAGTGATGTGAAACGGTTCATTGGTTCGTATCAATAATAAAATAAGGTTCCTTGCTTTTCTTGATTCCAATTTGTACCATTCAAGATCGCACATAGCACGATATAGAGCTGTACACTGAACATATAGATTATATATAAATACGCATATTATTTCAATACAATTGCCACAAATATTAATATATTTATTTATATTAATATTTAATATTAATATAATTTAATATTGTGTAATGCGGTATAAATTAAATAGTTACATTATATTTTTATTTACTTTTATCTCTACATACAAAAAAATTGAAGAAAATTATATAATTTGTTAAAGTAAATAGACTTTATTAAAATTTTATTAATATTTAGAAATATACTACACATAAATATTATCTTTTAAAATTTATCAATATTTACAAGAATGTATGTAACAATAAATCTTTAATTTCTTAGCATTATGACAATAAATTTAACTTTTTCGTGCCTGACTTTTTTAAAGAAATAATTAGCATCTACAGTAATTCATGTCTTATTAGAGATTTTTAGAGTCACTGATTATGAATCTGTAATCAAAATTTTAATATTCAAAATAGCGGGTTCAATAACAACACATTAAAATGTAAAATGTAAAATTTTCTTGAATTAAAACAATCTCAAAAATCCCTGTGAATGAGTTTTATTCAAATCTAAGAAAATTTTACATCTTGGTCCGTCATATTAAATTTGCCATTTTGAAATTAAATAGCGATTTTTTAAATAAATAGCCCTTACATTCAAAATGAGCTCAGAAAGAACTCGGTATTTTAATTTTTGTGGAAGATATACTATGCATTTTTCACTTTTACCCCATTTTACGAATTTTTGACGAGAAATTCGAAATAAGGGAGGAAACTTTTAAGGTTGTTTGAATCTCTTCGTAAAGAGTCCTATTTTTTAGCTTGAAAATAAGAATAACCAGAAAGAAATTATCTTCATTTTATGGAAGTTATGAATTTTTGAATGTTTGGCAAAAATATGTGTCACCAGAGGCATGAATGAGTTAGAGAGGTTTATACAAACACAATAAATACAAAAATTATGTATTAATGCAATTATTGAATATATAATGAAGTATAAAAAACTATATATTAACACAAATTATAACGCATTTATATGTTTTTATATTACACTTATACACATATGCATATATGTACATATACAATGTTTTCTTCATATACAATGTATACATATACAATGTTTTATATAAATACATGTTTTATATAAATACATATACAATGTTTTATACAATAAAAACATTAAATAATGTTTTTATTTATACATGGTCTATCTCAAAAGTAATGAGACTGTAATTCTGGAAAAATCATTTTATTGAAAATATGCTTAATATTTTTCAAAGTAGGATCCTTGAGCGTCAATACAGCCGTTCCAACGTTACTGTCACTCTTCGTAACAACGTAGGAAATCTTGGCTTGGGGAAATCTAGATATGCTTTACAGAACGCTCGTCGTGGCTGTTCGAACTTTTTTAATAGTCCCAAAACAGTGTCGGACATTTTTGAGACGATTAAAAAGGTCCAAACAGTCGCGACGAGTGTTCTGGAAGGCATGTCTGATCAAGACTTCCTACGCTACTACGAAGAGCAACGCTGATGGAACTGCTGCATTGATGCTCAAGGCTCCTACTTCAAATAATATTAAATGTATTTTTAATACAACGTTTTTCCAGAATTGGTCATTACTTTTGAGACAGACCATGTATATCTATATAAATATGTAACTTACTTGCACCGTTACAAGCTCTCCGGCACCGCAATAGAGAAATGTATGCGTCAATAAGATAAAAGCAGCAATTGCCATGTAACATGCTTGTGCGACATTCGCATCATTTTTCTCTTGGTTGGTTACTACCTGGATAATATATCTCGCTAATTAATAAAAATAAATTATTATAAGTTAGACGCATAATAATTCCATAGACTCACGCAAATTATGTATATTGCATAAATTTATATTTCAAAAATAAAGAACCGTGTAAAAATATGAAAACGTTTTCAATACATTTGTTGCACTGAGACTTACACTAACAAGTAAAAATCCGCATAGACAAAATACGATACCAAAATAAATTACCAATCCAAACATCATTAACGAGAATGCATTTTCAATATTGTTGGCAAATCTAGAAATCAAAAAATTAAACAGAAAAATTGCAAAAATAATAAAAGACTATTCATTTAAAGAAATTTGTACATTATATGGTCAAATGTATATATAAATAATTTCATTAAATTTATATTTAGGCTTTTCTCAATTGCAAAATAATATTAAGTTTCTATAGACTATTATTAATTTGTTATAATCTATTAAAATAAAAATCTAAAAGGAGCTATAAAAGTAATAATTTTAACATATTAATTTTTGATAACACTTGCAGATTAAACATGAAAATTTTAATATTCAAAAATTCAAATCCTAATCTTACAAGAATGTAAGAAATCATTTTTTCGAACGTTTTGAACTAATTATTTGGTATTCCATCGTTGAAATCCACACCTGATGAGTCGTAAATGATACACTACGCTGTTATTCAGAGCTTGGTTGAAATTTTTGCATAAAACCAAATTGACTAAACGGCTTCTGAAGTTCTCTATTTGGCCACAAATATGAAAAATTACGAGCCCAAGAAAAGCATCTATTGATGTATAAATTACCCCAGCTAGAGAAAGTGTTATGGCTTGAACGAGAAATGTCAACTCAAATTGCGGGCTTTTATCAGTGTCATAGAAATAATACGTTTGCAGTGGTAGCGGTTTATTTCGATCGGTAAGATTCGTTATATGCCTTATTTGTATACCAAAGCAAGGAAAAATAGTTAGCATAATAAATGCAAGAGTCATTATAACAAATCCAAAAATTATAAGTAATCGAGCCGATCGTGCTCGATTTATCATCACATCTCTCTCTGTGTTTAATTTTAATGCTATCCAATCATCCGCCATCATATTCACAATGGATAAAAGAACTTGGAAATACAAAAAAAGACACTATCAATAATATGCAAACACGTCAAAAATTATTTATAATTAATTATAATTATTTTTAACTTTCAAACTATCAAATCAAACGCGGATATATTATGTGGATTTATTAATATTATGTGGATATCAAATGGACATGGACCTTTGATTGATTTGAAATAAAAAGGTATTAAAAATATTTGACAATTTAATTTACTTTGACATTTAGTTGATAGATGAAAGGATAGAAAAAGAAATAATAATCACATATAATAACTTGTTTCCTTAATGTCATAATCTATTAACTTTATAGTAATAAATCATACAATAGTTTAACATAGAAATAAAACCTAAAGACATACCTTCTCGTTTCCATCGCATAATAATAAGTTTAAACGAAACCACTATAAGAGGTAACGTAATTCGTAAATTATCTATCATAAGTACCATGTCACCCCAAACTCGTATAAGCGCCCATGCAAGCGGTATACCAGAAACGATTGTTATAATAATAAAAATGAGGCCCACGCGAATGTTAGGCCCCAATTTTTTATTAGAAATTTCATTGGTTAAAGGCCATAAACCGATCAAATTCAAACCAATTCGATGTAATTCAACTGCCCATACAAAATCTAATTTTTTATACAAAATAAAATTTTAGATAAAATTATCACAATTTAATATCTACGTACATTATTAGAAGACTAATCGTAACAAAAGGTAATGCGATAATGTAATGACAGTGAAGTTACAATGGGAAAATTATAATAATTTGTCATGTAAAACACGCATATTAAATGGAATATACATATATAATACAGAGAATTCATACCTTTATAATTCATACCTTTATAACCTGAGGACTTCGTAATAGTCATGTTGAAGACTAACATGAAGAGACTCGTCCCGATCTTCCCATGTAATGTAAAACGATCATTGCGCATGCTCTCCATATAAATAAATGCACGAACTCAACACCCTCGTCAAACGCTGTATTAAATATTTAAAATGCTATCCCTCAGTTGCTGGTAACGCAAAAAAAAACTTTATGAACGTATAGTAAGTCATAAAAATTATTTACGTCTGACAAAAGACAAAAAAGTTCAGACAAGAGATAGAAAATATTGCATTTTAATAGATAAGTCATAAGTTTGTCGAACTCGTCTGAAAATTGTTTTCATACTTTGTCCATTCTTATTCTATATTTTAATTCATAATATGTATGCATTTATTTCTAAACAAAAAATAATGTAACTACAATTTTATTGAGATTCTATATACGGGCACAAGATCTCAGAGACATTGTAGTAAAAATATAAGATAATATGACGTTGCGTGATACTTCACGTACATTTCTTTCTCTTAAATATTTCTTTCAAAAACATTGATATCATCATAAAAATGTATGAATACGATTATCTTTATCAAGCAGGCTATAATATTTCACAATTGTTTATTGTTTATATATGTTTTTTTTTGTGAAAGCGTGTTCTAATTCATATAAAACTGCGATTTTATAAATCAAAGAAGAAATAATATGATATTGCATAGTACTATACGTATCTTTTCAAAAACCAATTATTGTAATAGACGTGGTAAATGTAATATTATCTTTAGATCATATAAGTAGATTGTATAATCCGTATTTCACAATTGCATTTTTTATGAAATTTCGGTCTCTTAAAACTGCAATTTTATAACGTATGACAGCATTCAAAGCGACATTCTCGTAACAAAATTAAAAAATATTTCTATTTCTCGAAGACAAAGCAGAAAGAGTAGTGACTTATAATTTTTTTTTCAAAATTGCAGCAAGTGATAAAACTCACATAGATGTATCAACGTAAGTATATTCATTTTTCCTACTAGCAAATAATGTATTTTAAACGTTTCTTTTATTTTAAATAACGTTATGTTTGATAATATTCTACTAATGATTCTTGTGTTGTGTTTACTAAATCAAAATGTAATCCAACCAGCAAATTAATATTGTCTGTTGGGTTAACCATGTCGATTTAGTAAAATAGAATTAACACAAAAATCATCAGTTAAAACATTATCATCAAATATAATTGTTATTCAAAAACAAATTTAAAAAAAAAATTTAATATAGATTTGTCATTTCCTTTTGATATACAAAAGTCTAATCTTCATCAAATTATTCTTGTGACGAACAATGGAAACATTATTACGTTACAAAATACTAATTTAATGTACAATAAATATTATAATAGACAAAGAATTTTATTTCTACTATAACAATTATTAAATACAAATGCATTTACTTCTAATTATTTAACTGCAAATCCCTTCCGTTCGTAAATAATATATATATATATATATATATA